TGGACCGCTGGGTCGGCCGGTGGCCGAGTGGTCTGCACGTTTGCTTTGCAACCATAAGGTCACCGGTTCGAATTTGCGTAGGGGTGGGCGTCCTCGCGGTATACTCAGCCCGCGCGCGACTGGTGGTGGTCGCGCGGCAGCGAAGCGCCGTTACGGCGTACAGCTGACACATTATCCTACTTCGGCCTGGGCAACCGGGTAGTATCACGCCCACTGACGAATCATGGACCACACCGCTTACTGCTGCTACTGCTATGCCTATCTTCTGTGGTAACTCGACCGCTCAACCTCCACTCACAGATCACCCCACCTCCCGTCCTTCACCCACATGTACTCTTATGTCTTCTACGGTCAACGTCACAAACGACCCACGTCTCGCAGCTGATGGAAGTAACAGCCAAACTCCCGGTTTTCAATGTCCTGCGATCGCAACCGCCTCTCACTCCACCGAAGCTCCAGCTCTTCTTCGACCTGGTTCTCCATTCATCTTCGCAGCGTTTAATGTTCGAACATTGATGCAGATCGGACGACAAACATGTCTGGCCCGTACTCTTGAAACGCTTTCGGTAGACATCTGTTGCCTTTCAGAGACCAGATTACAAGACTCGAGCGCCGTCATCAGAATGGCCTCTCCGGTAAACTCTGATACCAAATACTACTTGCGGCTTTCCGGAGACCCAGAATCTGCCGCCACTGGTCAAGCTGGTGTTGGGGTTGTACTGAGTGCCAGGGCTGAATCAGCTCTGCTTGACTGGATCCCAGTCAACAGTCGGCTATGTGCAGTCAGACTAAGAGGTTCATGTAACGTAAGCAGGCGTCGAGATGTTAAGCGTGCCTTGTTTGTCGTCTCCGCCTACGCCCCTACAGACTGCAGTCCGGATGCAGTTAAAGATAGCTTTTACCAACAACTACATGAACTTCTGCGTTCCTCCAAAAGGACGGATATAGTCATTCTTACCGGGGACTTTAACGCACGGGTTGGCCGCCTTCTACCAAGCGAGCACCACATTGGGGGTAGTTTTGGTCTCGGTGGCAGTCGATCAGACAATGGAGACAGACTACTTGCTCTTTGCTCTGATCATCGCTTGTTTCTTTCGAGCACTAGTTTTCGACACTCGAGGAGACATACTGCTACCTGGCCATTGCCCTCACAAACGCAAGAGTGTTCCCAGCTTGACCATGTAGCAATCAGCTACAGATGGCGCGGAAGCGTAACGGACTGCCGATCGTACTGGTCAACTTTTCTAGACTCTGATCACGCATTGGTTCGTGCTAAGATTTGCATGCGTTTCGGAGGATCACCTAAGCGCGCCCATTACCGACCGGACGTCGCAAATCTACAAAACCCTGCGATTGTAACCAGTTACCAAGCCTCACTGTCAATCTTGCTTTGCTCAACTATTCACGGTGATCTCGATTCGCAGTGGGCGCATATCAAAGATGCTTTAGTTTCCGCCAGTATCGACACTTGTGGAGTTACCCGTCACCCACCGAAGCATTGGATTTCCGCCGACTCCTTGTCGCTGATGGACGGACGCCGCCCATCGGATTCCAGACACAGTGAAGAACGCCGATACCTTGGTCGACAGTTGCGCAAGAGTCTGGAAATGGACCGCGAAGCTTGGTGGTGTGAACGTGCTACGGAGATGGAGCTTGCTAGTCTCTCTGATAATACCAGAAAACTCTTCCATCTCATTCGAGTCACCGAAGGTGTTCGATCTGGTATAAGTGAAACAATATGCGAAGAGGATGGCACCTTAATCACCAATCTTCAACGACGGTTGGAGCGATGGGCCGAACATTTTGGCTCGCAGTTTTGTTGGCGCCCAGCTCCATCTGCTACCTCTGGCGCTCGCGCTGGGGCCGAGTGGTCTACCCCAACAGACCCTCTTCCCAGGAAATCGAGAAGGAGCTCCGGCACATGAAGCGTTATAAAGCCCCAGGCCCTGATGGTCTTCCTCCGGCTCTATTTAAAGATGGTGGCGCATCGCTGGTTCGAGAACTCACCGCTTTGTTCCCGAAAATTTGGTCGAAAGAGAAAGTTCCGTCATCTTGGGGTGAATCGATAGTCGTCCCCATCTTCAACAAGGGCCTGCGCACAATCTGCTCCAACTACAGAGGAATAAGTTTAGTCCCCGTCGTTTGCAAGCTGCTGGTGTCCATCATACTTCGCAGGCTATCCCCAACACGCGAATCGTTGCAACGAGAAGAACAAGCTGGGTTTCGCCCTGGTCGCGGCTGCATCGATCAAATCTTCACACTTCGCCAGATCCTCGAGCTCCGCCATGTGTATCAGAGGCCAACGATTGCTGTGTTCCTGGATATCCGTGCAGCCTTCGATTCTGTCGATCGTACAGTACTGTGGCACTGTCTACTGAGGAATGGTGTCCCCGAGAAGTTCGTCTCCATACTGCGCGCTCTATATAGTCTGACCTCGAGCAGGGTTAGGGCTTATGGCAAGCTTTCGCCTACCTTTGTGGTCTCCAGTGGAGTACGACAAGGATGCCCTATCTCTCCGTTCCTATTCAACTTTGCCATTGAGGATGTCCTGAAGAACGCTCTAGGTGATTCGTTGAATGCTGGCGTTGAGCTCTTTCCAGGTAGTCGAGTTGTTGATTTGGATTAAGCTGATGATATCGTCTTGCTGGGTGACGACCCACACGTCGTCCAACTTGCATTAAACCGCTTGGCGATTGAAGCATCAAAGTACAGTATGTACTTTTCGCCATCCAAATGCAAGGCTCTCTTCCAAGACTGGCAGGTGCCTCTGCCTGCACTCACGCTTGCTGGTGAGACACTAGAGGTTGTGAAGAGCTTTGTCTACTTGGGAAGTTGCATCACTGCTGGCGGGGCTGTTGGAGACGAGATTTCGATGCGCATCTCGAGAGCAGGCCTCGTTTTTTTCTAGGCTGAGACATTTGTGGCGTCGCCACGACATTCGTCTCTCCATCAAAGGGCGGATCTATTATGCAACTGTTCGTGCTGTACTGTTGTACGGATGCGAGACCTGGCCCATTCGTAAAGATGACTTGCGCAGGCTATCCGTCTTCGAGCACCGCTGTCTGCGGTCCATTGTCCGTGTGTGGTGGCAGCACCACATAAGCAATGTGGAAGTTAGACAGCGTGTCTTGGGACGTGGAAGCCACTCGCTCGAGGAGCTCATCTCACTGCATCAACTGCGGTGGTTGGGACACGTATTGCGCATGCCTGTCCAGCGTTACCCCCGTCGTGCGTTGTTTGCACTTGCTGGACAGGGCTGGAAGAGACGGTCTGGTGGACAGCCTACAACATGGAGAAGCCGCATGAAAAAGCTGACGAAACAGTTGGCCTCGGCCGGTTGTTGTCGACTACCTGGTTGGGGTTTGAGAGATGCGGATACTTGCTGGTTGAAGATCTTGGAAGCCATGGCTCAAGATCGATGTCACTGGCGGACGTGTGCATCGGTTTGTTGCGGTGTCCGTTCTTCCCCCCCCCTAAAAAAGAACAAACTTAAAAAATTTCAAAAACTGTGAGTTGTAAAATTGACAGAAAAAGCAGTTCTTGTTGCTCTTTTCTTATTATTCATATTGTTTTCCTATTCAGCCATGATTCCGATGGCAGAATATCTGTACCACAGATTGTGTATAATATATATTGGAGCGCTGGACTGAGTATTTTTAATAGCAAATAATGTACCAGAATCGTCAGCTCTATCGCCGACCGGTGATCGCCCTGCTCCACGGGTAGTTCGGACCTGCCTTTTCGCTCAGAAGTGGAAGGTGAGATCGGAGTGCTGAAGCTGAATAGGACCGTGGGACCAGATAATAACCCTTCAGCCCCTTTCAAATTTGAGGGATCTGCCCTTGTGGAAGAGTTACACAATTTAGCAGTGAGGTAATTGGAACAGAAAACTGTCCTAACCGATGGAGCCACTTCGCCATCGTACCGATCTTCAGGGTGGGCTCACATTCGGAGTGGGATAACTATAGAGGTATCAGTCTTTGCCCTTTCTCACAGGTTGACTGGCACCCGTGAAATCCAGATTCGTGAGGAGCAAGTCAGGTTTAACCGAAGTCGAGGTTGCAATGACCACATCTTCACTTCATGTCCGTTAGATGCACTTTCATAAATCTTCGCCATCTGTGGCGCCAACACGGCATCACTCGCGCCTTAAAGGATACAGACTACAATGCAGCCATCCGTTCAACCCTCCTGTGCGGTTGCGAAATCTAGCCCATCAGGTCGACAGACGTAAAGAGGCTGGTCACATTCGATCATCGCTTCCTTCGCAGTATAGCTCACATGTAGTGGAAGCACCACGTGAGTGTGCACGGCGTCGCGTATTTGATGCAGGAAGAGCGAGTGAACCGCTCAGCACCGTTATTTTACGCACCAGCCTCCAATGGCTGGGCCACGTGTTGCGCTGCCAGCACACCGACTCCCGCGACGTGCATTGTTTGCCCGCCGGCGGTGCGGTTGGAAGAGGAGGGGAGGTGGCCAACCGAGGAATCGGATGGTGTATCCCGACTGCCTAGTTGGGGTCCGAAATGCGATGACACGTTGGATTGGAGACACTTGTTGACATGACGAAGAACCGACCTCAATGGCGTCTGTGTCGTGAGTTCCTTTATCATACTCCATGCCGACTAGCCTTCCTCTCAAACCCCGACCACTGCATAATGTAAAAGAAAGTATAATAATTACAGAAGAGTAGTAGGGGGAGTTGAATGGTATTTTTCATTTTTTAAATACCACCTAATTGAATTATGTTGCGGTACAACCCCAGCTAACGTGGGGAATGGTGAAGAGAAATGATGTGTGTAGAACCTTAACGACACTGTACAATGTCGCCAAGGATGCCACAAAATCTATTAAAACGTAGTAACGCGTCAAACTCCAGTCTTGGGATAATACATTGACAGATAGGAGCCATCGAGTGTTTACTGGTTACCGCATGTGACGGTAACGTTTGCACTCAGGAAACCGAGCAAAAGTTCTAATCAAACTGAAAACATGCTCACCTATCAACCGGACTATATGGCGGTGCCGTAACTGTGCCATCGTTTTTGCCTCGACCAAAATTTCCCTCTGAAAAAAGATGTTTCATGAAAGATGGCGGTGCATGTTTTCAAATACACTGCGGTTTTGAAGTGAAACTGGAAACATCAATGAATATCCGATAGCGAATAGTAGACTCACTCAGAAGAGCAACGTAACTTCAGAAGTCACTCTGCCCTTAGGGCGACTTAATGCAAGAAAGCGTATCCAGTAAATGGACAGTCCAAAAATATTGAAATGACATCAGTTCACGCTGACGATTATGGTAAGCATCATCTGCTAAACCTCTGTACAAACATACACCCGTTTTCCGCTAAAGTAAGCGATTCGCTAAAGAAAGGCATGATCGATGTGGTTGGCTGGTAGCTGTTGCGAGGGTTAGTGTAACATATTCGAACGCGTGGCCTGCCGTGACTAGTCAAGGTAGTCCACCGAACAATAGCGTCCTCCACGGTTTAACTCACGCATAAGTGTTTTAAGCAACGTGACGTTAAAGTGATGGACATAATGCGAAGTCACCACAACGTACACCTTCCCCCGCTGTGGGGATGGCAGCTAAGTAGGCGAATACGTAGGAATAAAGCAAAGGCATATATACACTATTCCGATGTATCCTGTAGCTAGAGGGCTTGTGCACGTGTTCTGACGAGGAGACCAGCAAAGCTTCCAGTTTCTCGTTGCTATCAAACTCGGATATCGGTAGGTGAATTCGGCCTCCCGTTGGACTTCAACAGGAAGGCAAAATAGATTCACGGGGACGGTAGAATAAATCTGTGTTTTCAATGTGCCAAAATTTCGAGCGGAATTCAATTTGTTAGCACTTCTTTTGCCGATAAGTGACAGATAATCAAGCTTTTCAGTGTCCGAGAAGGCAGAATAACGAATGGGAAGCAAGTTCTAAAGACTGGAGTGTCACTTTAAAGCGCACATCCGTAACAGATGGAGAATTGCGGGTGTGTGACAGACAAGCACCAAATGGGTAATTCTGACGGGCAAATTTCCTCAGACTACGCCGAAAAATTGATTTTTACATCTTCTGAAGTGCCCATCGGAACCTTCAATCATCCTCAGTCGAACGAGTGTGGTGACCAGCAACGAGGAAGCCGGAAGTTGGTACACACCCACAAAACCAAGAAATAAGCGAACGCAATGTCCGATTAAGGTGGTTACCGCAAGTGGTCGAGTGCATTGAAGATACGCTTTTATTCCGCCCGGGGAGAAACGTGGTAGTTCATCATTTTTCCTTTCCCTTTTATCCTCAGGGGGCTGATAAATCTTATCGAAATTTGTGGACCGCATTCGCTAGAATAAGTAAACATTACTGGATGTCCTCATTACGAGTGCGTGATTGGGAAGAAGTGACTATGTAAGGTAACAAGTGTAACAGTTGGTGTAACAGATATTCGACATCATGAAATCTGCTTGAAGCCAATCGATAGCTCATGGTTTCCGTGTGGCTTGAAGACAATCAGTGGGTATATTCGGTGGGCAACATTTTGCTTCTCACATAGGAGCTTTGTCATGCAAAGTAAGCTGAGAAACACGATGTGGCATTTATAGTGATCTGAGATGAGAGTTGGGACAGCCGAAAGATATGCCAGAGGGTAATACCCGTTAGAAGTCAAAATGGCATCACAACTGGACCGCAAGATTGTAGATGTCATAAATGGCTCATGTTACAGGACATTCACGCAATTGTTCTTTGCAGTAATTGTGGTGATTCACTCTCCAAACTGGACTCGGTCGACGAAGATATTCAGGTTGGTCGTGCTAAGACAGTTCGTCACACACAACAGTCCAACCCGTCTATTATATTCATGCACCCGATGGCTTGGGCGATTTTTACCCTTAACATTATGTCATGAATTTCACCCTAATGATCTTGACGAAATCCAAGACGATTCTCGTTAAATTATAAATAAATACAAGTCGATTAAGAGTAAAGCAAAAGGATACTTAATGGACCCGCTTGTGGAAGAAACATTCCCGTTTGGGCGATGAGTGAAGCGAAGGTGGACGTAAAGGCCGATAGATCAACTTTTTGCTTGGCTGGTATACGAAGTTTTGCACTATCCAAGTGTTTCCCGATATTATGAAGGCACTATTCGTTCCTCTACCATACACGCCTTGCACCGCATGCGCTGATGTTATCCATAAGCTCAGTCCGCCTATTAAATGATATTCTTTGACTTTTGACAACCACAATGTACACGAGATCGCGCCGCATTTTGTCCACTCCTGCAAGTACCATATGCCTTCTGCAAACGAAGGCCAAAGTGCACTAATCTCCGAGTAAACTATCAACCTTTACCACCTGCACAGATTCCACCCCAAAATTATGCAGTATTAAGGAAGGATGAAGCGGAACCTACCGTTCACTAGTGAACAGAGGCATCCAGTTGTTAGCACGCTACTGTTTCCCTACTGGGGTCCACATGAGTGGGGTGTGAGAATCATGTAAAAAGCCAGCGTGATGGCAAAACGGGCTAAGATTTGTTGTTTCTCCATCGACGATCACACATTCTCTTAGCAGACACTGGTCAGTTCTGAGGGAAAAACGGACAACAAATCGGTATTTCCACGGAGCAACACCGGCAGTGCATGGACTTCGGATGCGACCTCGGTGATTCAAAATGACCCGGTTTCAAAGTAAACTAGATCGCAGTCTAAATTGAGGCTGAGCGTCGCATCGCATGCGTAGTATGGGTGATGTGGAAAACACAACAATGAGCTCCCAATCGTTGTAGCCAGCGTCGTCCGTGGTGATCTGCTAGCACCTGAGGAGTACAAACGAGGACTAGGCGGGTCGTGGAGCGTGGCATTTAGAATGAACAGCATCGATGATGTCCCCACCACGGATGCAGTATAAGGCATTCCGAAACCAAATGCTGACTGCATTCCAAGTGAAAAGGATCGCTGGCAGAAAACAGGTCGAATGTGACTATGGTTCTCGTGAGTAGATGAGCCTCCTTTACCCAGCGAGTGTAACAACCCATAGCTTTGCATTCACATATAAGACGTAATAGCGCACGCACCTAGCCAGTCTTGGTACCACCTTACTGCATTGTGTCCGGATGACGAGGGTGACGCGGCTCCGGCACAACCCCAAGCTGTGGGTCTGACTGAATTCGATGGCACCAGAAGCAGCGTGTGAAGCTGTCCGTCTGTAGTGCGAGGTTCATCCAATCCTTTGATCATGAGCCCACTTATCAGATTCCTGAATTACCTTGTTGGCATTAAGCGAGTGGTACGAGGAAACCAACGAGACACTGGTGAATCGCCGGTAAATGATTGCCAGGTCTCGCTCTCTCATGAACGCAGGCAAGTGCATGTATACATCCCAACGGAATTCTTACAAGAATATAACCAGTGAAACATGGCCACGTAATAAGGAATGTTAACCTGATCACGGGGGACAAAGAAACTAAAAGAGACTGAAAAGTGGTAAACCGCACACATACCATCTGCGTCTAAGTGGATAGACGACCCCTGTATCACATACCGTTGGTGTCAGGCAATCTATCCAACTATATCCGTCAGCGATAGATCATCACGTCAGGTGGCGATGTGCACTAAACAACCACAGTTGAAATCGGAGTGACGGCGTTGTCAATTTGCCCTACAAGAATACGTTGGGACGTATGGCTAAATTGTGGTGAATGTAAATCTTTTCCATGGAGAATATTCTTCAATTAAATCATTTCAAGAGTAGTCTTGAGAGTCTGACAACACCCACTCTGCCCGATCCGTCACCGTGGTCAGCAACGATCGCTCAGCTGGTGTGTAAGGAAAACCACTGCGGATGGATGGAACATAGTGTAGGGCCTGAATGTCTTAGCAGCAACTCGGTAACAATACTCCGCCACACTGTAAGATAGCATGCAGTTGGCTATCGGCTGAAACTAAGGCGGCATCAGCGAGAACGGTTCTTTGTGGCTTTCACAACCTCGCCTCACAATAAACTTACCCAAAAAATAAGCTGGCAGCATACACAATTTGCATTAGAAATTTCGATAAGAGAAGACTACATACCCATCACTGCGTGCGGTTACGAACCGTTTCTCATACTATCTGAGGCCACGTACACGTTAATCGCGTGGGCCAAAGCTTGGAAAGTGTGATGGACCAATCGGGAACGATCACTTTTGTAGGTGGCTTGCCGATTCAAATTACTGCTGGTACTTGATCAGCAGCTGATGGGATCACAGTATCCAAAGAGGAGCGCTATCATTATAATTATGGTGCATATGCACCAAGGCCATTATCGGCCGAGATTTTTTACAGATCCAATACTAATCCTCGGCCACTCATCCGACGGGTGAGTTCAAAGTGTTTGCGAAACTGGCAATTGCAGAACATTTAGTGAAATCGAACAAAAATGCCATTTTGCATCCGATGTGGCTGTTTGTATTAAATCTGATGGAAGATAAACTTGTCAGCAAAGACTAATTGTGCGTAGAAATGAGAGAGATAGACAGAAACAGGTTCCAGTCACACTTTGAGCTGGTGAATGACCATCCTAAGGGCATTACACGCGAAAGTAGTGCCCATGGAATCAGTGAAATGTGAGTCACTAACCTCTCCAACAGCGGCGATTTGATTCGCCTTCAAAGTTTTCACTGCCACAGGCACTTCTTGTCCCGTTGACGTTCGGTAAACACCCCGGACCACATGACCGAAATTGCCACCACCTGTGCCGAGAGAAAGGTGAAGAAGACTGAGAGTAGAAGAACACACATTGTTTTATGTGGTAGGGTCCGCGCACCTATCCTCAAGTTCTTATCTACCTGAAAGTTCACACTGCCACGATAATTCCACCGAGTCCGGTGTGCAGTGGGAAGATGTTTGCATCCCTGAAAGTATTCAACGGGAGTAACCGCGCGTGTAGATGAAAAACACGTCTGTGAGCTCAAATCCATCTTCAACCGGTTTGAGGCCGGCTGGAGTTTGGATGGTGACAATTCATTAACAAGTAACAAAACCGCGTTTATGAGCGTCTGCGATGGGAAACACAACGTTTAAGCCGTAGTCCAGTCAACGTGATTGTACTCATGAGTAGAGGATTTTTGGTCAAGGATTCGAATCCTAATGGATCCGATGAATGCGCACTACTGATGATGCCCAACCGGCTGAAACTGCAGTCTAGTGCTTTTTCGGGCATGCGGAGGACTATCTGATTTGTAAGCTAATGCGACGAACTCTCCATTAACAACGTGGTTGTGTTTGGAAGGTCGGTGCAATTGCCAAGTGAGCAGACTAGGTTAGGGTAGCAAATGTTACGTTTACCCATGGAGGATCAAAATGCAGCTTGAACAAGTAAAGTGAAAATGAAGAAAATTCTGACGTGTACCAACAGTCAAAAAGGCATAAGAAATATAAAGAACTTGTACTCAAGTTTGAAACTTCCGCAGGAACTTGTGCATACCGAGCTATTGGCAAAATAGAAAGATGCCATGGATAATGGATACATAAAACCAAAGGCCCGAGTGCGCAAGAACATTGTTTCCAGGAGGTTGACATATTTGGGCAAGATCTAAAGAGCAGATACTAAGGATAGGCCCGAAACGTTCATGCATTTAGCTCTATGAGTAGACATGCCAGGCAAGTTATCGTCAACAATACTTCGAAAAGAACGGAATCGTTAGCCTCAGGGAACATTAGTCTGCTCAAAATGAGAAGAGAACGTGAAATCCGAGCGCAAGAAGATCCAACTTGGACGTATGGTAGACGGTATCCGTTCATGTAGTTGCCTGTCACCGTTACCGATGTTCGATACAGCGTGCCTGCGCCTACTGAAATACAGGATAGCTTGCGTTGCACCATTCACACACCACGTATAGTGTAAACCGGAAGAAATCAAACTAGGGAGTATGTGGATAGGAGCCACGATTGATTCGGAGCCAGCCCACACCCCTACAACACATTATTCATTTGAACAGGGTAAACATGCATGCCAGACCTACTAAGGGTGATGGCTGGGCTGCAGCCCGTTCCGCACTGGATGGAAACATTCTTTGAGCCAGCACCCTCAATAAGACTGTGTACCCCTACTCTCTCTCTCTCTCTGAAGCGTCACCCATTCTCCTGAAGCGAGGAATGGTGTTGGTATTCGACAGGTTTGCGCCTTTTCAACGTGTGCACCAAAAGCAGCCACATATGCGTTATAAACACAAACGCTACCAAAAGAAAGATGACACACGCAGGGACATATATGGTCCAATGGCGGCGATAAAAGAGCACATGTGGCAAACCCACCAGATTAGTACCTTGGAAAAGCAGAGCAAACCGTGAGAGCTTCACTACTACGCCAGTCGTGAGTCAACAACTCAAGGACAGGATACTGAGGTCAGAGATTTCCCTCTGCGTGTACCACTTTTTTGCTCGTATCGAGCAAGTTATATTGAAGACGACCAGGCGACTGTCTGAGAGAGTCCGGTAACATTGCCCGGCGTGTCTCTACACGGGTGTGACAAAGGTAGTATCCAGCGCGGTATTGTGGCATTTAGCGGCGTCAGGTCACCAAATCAAGGTACGAGAAGCCTTTCAGCCAATCTACCGGATATCTGGACGCCACACGCGACATCTCCGATGTCGCTGATTAGCAACAGCGGAGGCGATCGCTATTCGGCTTCATAACCCCAACTTGTGCCCAAAAGAAGTTTGTACAGGCTCTTCACTTACCATGGATTCAAGCCACCCCGTATAACGACGACGCACTTAACCCTTCCATGTAATGCTTCCCTAACCAATGCGGTCACTTAACCTTACAGACCGGTCAATTCATTTCACTGATTCATAGCATTTAAATACCTTGTGTTAGTTGTATTCCTATCTTCTGTGGTGTGCTACCCTGATGCGAACCACCGAAAACAAGCATGTTCGCATAGATGTCTTTGGTTTCTGACGTCTTCTCCGAGATTATTTTTTCAGTTAAAACCGGAAGCAGCGAAGATACTCTGCGCTGACACACACGTTCAACTTACCCATTGCTACTTCGATATTATTTCCTCGTTTCAAGCTGTAGACTGACCACAAGGGCTGGACCGAGACACACGCGGCCACAGTTCCTATAGTTCTAGGCACCTGACATCGACGTACTGTGTTCCATCGGCGATTTTTGCTTCCCTAACCGATGTATTTTCCCCAATTCATTAGCTCTTTTGCGTTCACATAGACAATGGCATTCTTGTTGTGGTCAGGCCATAGGTGACGGTCCACTGTCATTGTTTCTGACAAACATATACGACATTAGCTCGTGATGATGTTCAAATAGCATAACTTCGGCATTCGCTAACATTTCGCCCCCTTCGCACAGTTAGCCGTATGGGAGTTGTTTCGGAATCCTCTTCGCATCCACACGGCTAGCCATCTTAAGTGTCTCGGTAGCAGCATGCAGTCCACTCCGTACATGCCGTTCCGGCGATGCACTTCGGTGTCATGAATTCTGTCATACCATCCGATGCGCATAACTCAATGCAGAAGTTGCTAGTTAAATCATTCCAGATAGCGGATATCCATTTTGCAGGACGTGCGGGTTTCACTGAATTAGAGCAGAGCCCACATTACCACTGTTTTGCATACGGTCAGCTTATTTCCAAAAATCAGTCGGTGCTTCCGCCACATCGGATGTTCTATCTTGCCAAAAGACGCACACGCCTTCGAGACGTGGGTGCACAGCTATGTTGGTCATTTGCAAGTTTCCTGAAAGCAAGCTCCCTAAATTTTAAAATTTTGCTGAGTAATCCAAAACTTCGCCAGCAATACTGCTTTGCATGCATACTGTAAAGTCCAAAAGGAACTTTGATGTATCCCCAACCTGGATTGCTTACATGAGGACACAGTATCTCTATTCCCTAATTATTCTGCCCATTTTACATTGCTTTACTCTGTGTCCTACAATCGGTTACCATATCATATATTTATTCCTTTCACTCGATCACTGACATATCCTTGACGTTTCAAGGTCATTCATATGATTCGGTTACTGTGACACTGCCCAAATTCCCGCACGATGCCGCACACTTTACAATTTCTGCCCACGCACTATGATTACAAAACCTATTCGTAAGTCATGTACAGCATTTAATATGCCTTATAGAATCACGGTTACCGGATAACTCGTTTTATTCTTCTGCCCAGACCGTGCGTTAAGTCTAGGTGTATTTGTTCGTAGTTTCTAGTTTAGTTTTCGTACGACGTACTTAGTTTAGGCTTCGTATCGTTGGTACATACACGACGGAAACCACTCCTGATGATGAGCGAAAAGGTTAGACAGTATACTTATGTTAGTGGTTAGTCCGAACTTGGCCGCCGAGGAAACAAGGGCCGTCGGCATACATTGCAACTCATCTTTGGTGTGTGAAAACAACGCGGTTGTTGGAAAACCAGTACAACATCTGGATTATTCTCTCACGCACTCGGGATTTCGACCAGCACGACCGATGCTCAGAAACCAATTAACGGTACGATGTGCGAAAAGGTAGTGCGAAAAGGCACTGAAAGCAGTAGACAGCAGGACAGTTAGGCAAATATTAAACAGAGCAGGGACTAAGACACGGATTTGTCTCACTCCAGAGACAGCCTGAAAATCACCCGAGTTTTGTCTACACAACTATTTCTTTATTCTCATACCATTATGAAAGCGTTCAATAAGATTAACAAACTTAACTGGGCAACGAAACTTGTCTAAAACCAGCCACAGGGCCTCGCAGTTCACAGTGTCAAATGCCTTGGTGAAGTCGACGAACAGCGAGTACAATGGTTGGTTTCGTTCACGCCATTTCTCCTACAATCGACGAGCCGCGAGCACCATGTCTATGGTGCTGCGGCCCGAACAGAATCCTTATTGCTCTTCCGCCACGTTCGGTTCAACGACTTGAGTGACGAGGCAGTTGAGCAGGACTGGAGCAACCACCTTCCCCACGCAGCTCAGCAAGTTGATACCACGATAATTCGTGGCACATCGCTAGCTTTAAAAAAGCTAGCGATGTGCCCTTGTAGCACAAGAACATCGTTCAAGTCAGCTGGCAATTCCTATTCGATTCACACGCGTTGCACGAAGTGGTGCAGCGCATGTAGCAGCGCGGGTACGCTATATGCTAACAATTCTGGCAGTATGCTGTAGGTTCCGGCTCATTTGCCGTTTCGCAGCTGAGCAAGAGCTCCCTGCGTCTCATCCAGTATCGGTGTGCCACCAAAACACATCTTTATCTCTTGTTGTTGCATCCCGTGCAACGTAAGTCAGTCAATAGCGGAACGGTTGTTCAAGAGAGAGTCGAAGTGACTTCACCATATCCACATGATGTCTACAATTAGGATGTAGGCCGCATCCAGCAGCGTTCTCAGCGGCTGCAAAGTGGGTCCATACGCCGCCTTCAACGAGTCAAAGAATTCCTTACGTTGGCGGCGTTCGGCGTGCCATCCCATCTGCTTCACCTTCTCCGTCCACAATCCATTCTTGATGCAACGGAGCTACCAAGTCAATCGCAGTCAAAATTTGCGAAACTGTTGTCATCAGACTAATCGGGCGGCTTACAATTTGTTCGCCCATTGGTTTCCTCGGTGGCAGCCGTCACGTGCTCATGGATGTGGCACCACAGATCGCCGACTGATCAGATGCAGTCGACACTGACAACGCGGGTAGCCGTCAACTTCTCTAGGTCCATTCTCTTCTCCACAGTTGCTAGGACAAGAACGTTAAATACGCGCCGGTTCACGGCAGGTGAGCGACACGTGGATCTACGAGAATAGATGTACAATTCGGTCGGCACCAACTTGTGGTCAGAGCTACACGCAGCACACGTGTCATGCACACTTCATGCAGGTCACGCTGGAGTACGATGACGTAGTTGAGTAGGTGAGCGTGACCACTCCGTGGATGCGTCCACGTAGCCATATCACTTGCACTCAGTGCAAGCTGAGTGTTCGTGATCGTCAGGCCGTGAGTGGCACAAAGTGAGAGCAGCCTGTCGCCGTTCGCATTCGCTGAACCAATGCCATGAGGACCGATAACATCCGTCCCCACCGATGCATCACGCCCAACGCGCATGTTGAAATCACCCAGAAGAAATAGTCGGTCGCTCCTCGGCACGGAAGATAACTGAGTGTAAAATTGATCACGCGTGTCATCAGCATAACACATGGTCGGACTGTAGGTGCTTATAAAAGTGGCAAACTTATCTCTTCCGAGTCGTAAGCGGGTAGCCATCAGTCGCGCGCTGATGCCAGTTGGTTCACCCACCAGCTGGGTATTTAGGCGCTCGGATAGTGCAAATGTGACCCCATGTTCGAACATGGCTGTGGTGAAACGAGCACCACCCACATGCAGCTTGCCTTGGTCCGCGAGCAGTCTCACTGAGTGCGGAAATGTCGATCCCATATAGCTAGGATTATGGCAGTTATTATGGGTTAGGTGAAATGGGGACGGAGAGAAGAGAATGGGAAGAGGATGGGGAGGAAGTAAGAAGCGAGAGGGCAGCGGTGGTACCTTTCGTTTATCCATCTCGCTGTGTGCAGCAGATAAAGCTACCCTGTCCCCCAGTGCGCGACTGCCGATGCAACACGAGAAAACCAGTATTTGCGTAGGTCATATTTGGTAGTTGGACTCATATACTGCCAGGGTGCTCAAATCTGAAGAGGAAAACGACTGAAGTCCTCAGCCTTCGATAAAGTGGCCTCGCAAAAACCGTCTGGGAATGCACCACGGGAATGCAAGCGGGTGTGCCCTAGTTCTTAGTTAGAATGAGGAATTAACCCTACTCCCACCTAACGGTGACCACGAGGATGCGCCCATGGCATGAGTACATGGCAGAACAAGAGCAACAGAGTGTTAATGATTTGTCAGGATTTCGCCACAAGCGCTGGAGAGCAATAGACTCTCGTCATATGGACGTATGACCTTACGTGACTTCAGCCTGTCACAAACTGTGTTAGGCATGGGATAACGCAACGTAGCCCAGTGCTAGCAGACAAAACCAAGACAGATATTGTCCCCATCCATCTCAGCGTGTAATGCAGTCTGGTACGATTTATATTCTAACCAGATGTCTCATGTGACTGTATCTAGATCTCCTGAGATAAGCAGGCTATCTTGAATCAGTAAGCAATACACAATGAATAGGCTTTGGTTAGAGAATGCACTGTAATGTTGGGTCATAAAAACGCGACCAGATAGGAGGCGGAGTTTGTTTCCACTGCAGTCAGTTAATATGTAAAAGGTTTTGACCAGTCGAACTAAACATTGCCGGAAGCGCGTAGCTAGTGTTCAGTGGGTGCAACAGTGTTGGGATGAGAGCCTGCAACACTAATTACCCCCAGTTACGGACATACGTATCAGTGATCCAAATAATCGCGGTAAGCTTCAGTGTGAATTCAGGTCCCAAACAAAAGAACGATTCGCTGACGTCTCGAGTAGCGGATGATCCAAAAACGAGGCGATTGAAGGGAGTCAGTCCCACTTAGTCGCAAAAAGTTACTCGGTCTCGTGGCATTCTCTATCCGGTGTATTTCGGAAGCATGCTTTTCCACAAATCCCTGCAAAACGGATCGCGTTTGCATGCCCCGCATCGCACAGAAGAAAAGTGCACTGCAAACGAATTCCGAAAACACGAGAAGAGCCTCTATCGTTTTTTATATGTCAGTGGTAGTATAGTGGCGATGGCTTCCTACCGCCATCAAAGCTTCCTCACAAACGGATTTCCACTCATTGATGAGTATTAGCGAGGTCACTGGTTCTCGGCAATATGAGATATTACCAATCACCGAAGCATTGCCATAAGTAGATCAAGGCAACTAGTGAAAATTTGCATCAACCCAGCAGTATTCAGTGGTAGCACGTTGATACAAGACTCATCACCGCATAAAAAACCCCGCAACGAAGAAGTTACGGTGACGTCATAATGCTGATCTAGAAGTACCTACATACAACGCGAGATGATACTATCCTAGGAGACCGAACAATAAAAACTCACCTAATCGCTCCAAAAGCACCACATTCTGTGCGTCCAGGAGAAAGTTTGACGGTGGTAAGTCATCGTAAACGAGCTGAGCATCCTCATGACAAAATGCATCCGCCCATGCATTCCGACCAGCGACAACCACGGGTTTTGAACTGTGCTGACAACATGCAGCTGAACAGAAAGTGGACACATCTGGGGAGTGCATCATCGGAATGCTATGAACTATGCTTTCGTTAAATGGAGCGGTAAGAAACGGGTTGTTGAAGCAGGTAGGAGCTCTGGAGGTTGCATCCAGCGTTGAAGGCACTGTGGTGAGGCCGTTGCTGTTTGTAGTTTTTCCTTGGTTACATTCGAGAACGTCTAGGAAGATATCACAGGGAATAAATAATGAATCAGGAGAACCACTAAGTCAATAAGGGACATAGGTTGCAAAAGTTCTGATCTCCGAGTATTCTCTGTTCACAGGCTGTGACGGTGAACAAGAAGTCATCACCGTGTGAGGCAAAATAGAATGGGCGATTACCTTGCAGTAAAGCTGGTAGCAAGTGTTAACATTAAAAATATAAACCACTTGCGTTGATCAATTATGATGCGAGCACCGAAGTGCGGAGGATCCAGTTGCTACGACTCGCATCGTAAGAATGACAATAAATCACAACGGCAAGCTAGTGGGGTTACAGGCAAATATAATGTAAAGAAAATGGAAGCAAGAAGGAAGTGCGTTAAACCAATCTGAATGGAACGAAAATCAACAAAACCAGATAAAAGAAACCGGATAACGGAACGCCATTGACTACGGGACTGCGCCATGGCAGATACGGTCTCTTACCACTGGTGTGGATCATTCCGAGGCTCCAATCCTAGGAGACGGCGTGCACCAGCCTGATCAAACCTCTCAGTTAGTTTCCTCATGCCACTGTGCCACGTCATGGACTGGCCACCTCGCGGTTTCGCCCAACTTGGCGCAGCCATGGCGTAGAATGCAGGCCGAGGAAGCCGGTCAATGGGCATACACGTAAGACATGGCCTAGTCAATGTTGACGATTACGATTCAGCATTAAGAAGTCTCAGCTACGGGGTCCAAGTAAACGAAACACTGAGGTCGAGACGCTTCGTGTAATACAAGTCAACAAGGAGGAGCATCCATTAAATTGGGGGAAAATATCAAACCAGTTGAAAACTCACCATCGCTCACATCCGGCTCTTCCCACGGGATATCCAAGATAGGAGGAAGATGAAGGGACAGTTTTGGGAAAATAGTCGGCGATGTCGTTTGAACAGCATTCTTTATTGATTTGTTATCGGGCCCGAAACGTGAACCCTGGTCAGGTTGTGCGGATGTGCGATTTCGGGATGATCCGGCGAATACGACAGTGCCGGTGGCAATCTCATCAGAAGTGGTCTGAGGAGGAAACGCGGCAGAGAGAACAGAAGCGATAGCCGCGTCCACATCAGCAGCCGCTCGGCAAACCGGAGAATCGCCTATTCGGATAGGCTGCAGACAATCGCTTGTTATTACGGTTGTCGTTGATGGAAAGTGAACACTGTGGCAAAAGTGCAAAGTGAGCGCAACACCGTCAGAGTATCGTGCTTCAGTCGAGGAGTGAAAAAATCAGTACATGGTGGGTGTAGCAGCTGAAAACAAAGCAACTAGCTTTTGCTTAACAATCGATGAAACAAGAAGGTATGCTGAGAAAAGGAGGATTTTAAACTTTTGATCAAATGGTTGGTCTTTCTTGTTTATGTGGTTGTGTGTGACAGCAGTATCGTGCATCACAGATGATAATGAGATAGTAGTGGGACCCATTAGTAATATTAATGTGTATCGCATTTACGAAGTCGAGAGCATCAAAAAACACTATGGCCGAGTTATGGAGTGGTCGGAGTTGTGTGTCGACTGTGCTAAAGTAAGTTGTATTTGCGTAAAATCTTGGTGGTTGCGATCACTGAAACCACATCCTGCATTAGACCATTTTCCGTATTGTTCGTTCCTGACATAGCACACCATGACAAATTTCCTGTGCCCAAAGCATTCGGACATAAAGGAAACCAAGTATGAAGTGCGATACTGTAAGTGAGAACTCCCACAAACTTGCACTAGTGTGATTCGAAGGGTGGGGGGAAGCAGTGGAATAATTCGTGTTTGCTTGAGGGTCGCTCCTGAGTACACAGCTCAACCTCATAACACAAAAACCAGTGGGGATTAAGTCCATCTACTTGACCTAATCACATGCAGTCTTAACGGGTTTAGAGAAGTTGAGGTTAACCGGTAATGCATTCATCGGGGCGCATGTTGCTTTTCAGGGGCTGTCTGGCTTCGAGTGAATGGGAGCAAACTTGTGAGCAAGGGGATGCTCTCTCCCATCCACACAGACCAGCCGTAGAACTCATGTTTTAAATCAATCGAGCTGACCAAATAGATTGCAAACTTTCGTCTCAGGTACGTAAGTTTTCGGAGCGAGTGAGTCATTGGCCATTCATCATCGAACCGTGGGGGGGGGGCACCTTGAGACAGAGATTGTCAAGCTCCAAACTATTTCCGCAGCAATTTAAAGATACTAGTCAGCGTAGCTTAATCGTGCATAGCATTGCCAAAATTGTAGTGAAATTGATGGGGCCACCGAAATGGGATTTGATCTGAGGCAGAATAAGGACACTGCTGAGTAACCGCTACTGTTCTGTGTACGCAGTGACGAAGCGTAGTTGCCTAAGCCCAAATAGGAGCTGCGGTTCGTTGTATCATTGACGCGTCCCACTTTAGTACGGTCCGCTTTACCAGCATAGACGTGATCCGTAAGCACTGAACGCATTCCAGCGTGTATCCCATCCAAGAAATCATGTAAGCAGGATCAAACTAAGTGTTATGCGCTCAGAAGCAACGATGCTTTCGCGAATTGCTCGAATTACGTTGGCCATAGCTGCAAAAGGACCTCCCAACACCACCCACACAAAACAGTGCATCCTTGTTCTAGTAAAAGTATAGGCGTTCCGGCTTGTACTAGCATCACAACCGTAATACAGGGTAACTGGGCTGAAGGGAGACATAAGCAGGGGTTGCATGTGGCAACATCATGCAGTGGGTCTCGAAATCACAGCGGAGTTTGAACAGCTGATGAGTTTTTCTATGCGCCATAACTGTTGGGCTGACGTGGCCTATGAGGTCAATTCGCGGGAGTTGTTAGAGAAAAGGTAAGGTAAAATGTTCAATCAATCGAAAGTCTTCATTTAACTTACAGATCAGATGCCAGCATGAGGATCGACAAGCAGAAGCATTTATCAGCGCTATCAGTGTTTAGACACACATCAGAGGAAGAGGGATACATTACCAACACGATTGCAATATGGAAGCACCAACGCTTCGCTGCCACGCGACTACCACCGGTTGCGCATGGACTTATTGTACCGCGAGGACGCCCGCCCCTTCGCGAATTCAAACCGGTGACCTAAGGACTGCAAGCCAAACGAGCAATCCTTTCGGCCATCGGCCGACAACACGCCTGCACTCCATAACGACGAGACTGGGCTTTAACATGGTGATGAGGTCTGCGTACCTCCGTTGAGATATGCCGGTTGGCAATTTCCAAGTACCTTCAGAATCACTCATGCCAGACAGGTCAATGGTTAGGAGTCAGACAAAGTGATTCACAACCCGCTTCGGAAGTTCTGGTAAGAGCAATGGTGCTCCTCCCTGAAAACCTAGCCATGGGAGACGACAAATTCACGGGTTATAAGCGTTCAGCTCGATTAGCGTAGAGCATGAACGCCACGCATTGTCTCTGACGGTGGGAGGTCACCGCCCGATGCTCAGTGGTTTGCTACCGCCTACCTCAAACTACGCAGATCCTGTTCAAATTGGTACAAACCCGCCAACTCCCATCTGCGCCTGACCGTGGTCGCAGGTGCGTAACGTAGTACGGTCGTAAAACACATGTGAATTGTTCCAAATCCTCAAAGGCTGTGTGTGATGGGCCTCGAGCGGATCCCAACCGGTCTCTGCAATCACACTCCCGAGCTGGACTTGTTCGCCGCTGCCTTTCGGGTCAGGCTATTGAGCTGAAGGCTCCTGGTGGAATCACTCAAGCGAACACCCATGCACCCCACTGCCTTGTGGGTCAGACTGTTGAGTCAATGAGTAAAGATAGGGCATCTCATACAAAACCCCTCTCTCAGAATTTGCAGCCGGAGTGTATCATCTGCGCTCTCGGCTCCATAGACAATATTCCCTCTTCTTCTTAATAGGATCGAATGGAACCGGTGATAGATGCCTAAACTGAATAGTTCCCTCGTCATGAGGAACGGTGTTCTTCAAAAGGCCTGCTTCAGCCAACGACCTGGGCAACTAGTAAGCTAGAATGATAGAGGTTCCACTTACACCTGTCAACTTGAACGCCAAGTGGAAAGTTTCAGAATGCAGTTCAACTGACCAGCCCACGCACCAACCTGACCAAGCTACTCAGTCAATTTCGCCATGTCTTTACGCCACGTCATGGGTTGACCACTTCGCGGTTTCGCCAAACTTGGTGTCTCCAACGCACGTCGTAGGAGGCTCCAAACGCGCATCCGGAGGATATAACCTAGCCAACATAAACGCTTCTTACAAAAAACCAACTAACTGACGTTAGCAATGCTCTCCTTGTGTAACCACCAGATGTGAGCAATATCTCGTAAGCATCGGTGGTCAAACGCGGTCAATCGTTTGTTTTCGCTGCGAACTAGCCAGATCTCTGATGCATACAGTAACACCGGCCTTATTGCAGCGTTATACACCCCGACTGTTACTGGCACGCTGAAATCCCGCCGTCACCTTAGATGGTTGTGTTTCTGGAAAGCCACACAGACGTTCGTGATACGAGAAGTAACCTCAGTGATGTGACCACCTGATGTGACACAGCTACCAAGGCACGTGAACCGATCTACCACTTCCAGTGGCTGTCTGGTCCTGGAAAGAACCGGTGGCGCATTAGTCTAGTCCTGCAACAGTACTTCGTATTTGAAGGTGTAAATCACATACCAAAACGTGCAGCGCTACAAGTTAGTTTATTCAGTAATATTTTTATATCCATTACATCGGACACAAGGGAGCTATGTCGTCCGAATAATCAAAGTTTGTTAGTCGATCACCTGGCAGCAATATCACTCCGGAAGAGTCTGAGAGAACTGAGTCATTTGTGATCATTTCAAGTGCAAGTTTAAGAGGAAAGGGGATTTAGAACAACCCTAGCGAACTCCACTTGCCGTAGGGAACGCGGGATACAGCTTCCCTAGAACCTAACCCAGCCTCAGGAGTCGAGGTAGAGAAAATTCAGGATGGAACGACACTTTCCCTGCACGCCCTTCACGAATAGACAGTATGACAAGCTGGCTTGATCAAAAAAGTCTTTGGCGATTTCAGATGAATTAAACCACCGTAATCCGTCCTCTATAGAGGTCTCTGTGTGCTAACACTTGACGAAGAGTGTGTTTGCGATGTAGCCACAACCATGGTGGAAGCCAGCCTGACTATGAGAAGTTTGGAGGCAGTGGAATTAAGGTTAGTGCATCGATGGTTTTCGCACCCATTACGTTAGTCCTACTTGAAGATGGGCACGACAATTGACCGTTGCCACTCTGTAAGCACTTCTTCAGCATCCCAAATAGTTTTAATGAATCAACAAGTCCGATCAACCGAGGGTCACCTCTATCTTTCAGCAAAGATAAAAGAAAGCTGTCAAGCCTAGGAGCCCTGTATTGTTTCAACACGTCAAGCCTATCTCGAATCTCTTCTGTAGTAGGAAGTGCGACATCGTCTTTCCACGTGGGCTCAGGGAATTCAACAATCCATAGTGTCGCTGCAGGCCTGTTGAACTTCTCTTCAAAATTTTCTGCCCAACGGACTGGTCGACGCGGCTGAGGATAGATCAACTGTCCATCTTTTTCAGCTATCGTCTCACCAACTGTGCTTTCTTGGACCCATGTTCTCGGTGAGCTGGAATAGCACTTGGCTGTTCCCAATATCACTCACTGGCTTTCTCCATATCACGGGCACTTGCCACCCACTAATGTTACTGACTAAATCTAAAACTCAGTCGCTCTTTCAGATCATTAGGTATACGCTGAAACACAGTACCTAACGGAACCCGTTTTCTTGGTTCCATCGGATTGACCGACGCCTCAAAGATGCATACATAGTTTGGACGTCTGAATTTCGGTGTACAGCAGGCGTCAGAAGCATTTTTCATGGCACACTTGAAACCATTCCTGTGAGCGGTTGGCTCACCAACCTTATTCACTACCGACAACTGGTGAGCCAGTTCGCCATGATATTGTTGAATTGGATAGTACAAATTCAAGTTACAGTCTTTGAACGATTACATGATGCTCTGGCCATGGCGGGTGATAATCAACGACGCTCTATCAACTGTATCCTGCAGGGTGGAGCTACTGCTTAGGCCTTCCCGTCATCATATTCCTCTTCTTGCACTTTTTCACCCATATCGTCCCCTTCCAACTTCACTTTCATTCCCCTGTTTTCATCCCCTATCTTGGTTCAGTGATCATTTATCTT